ATAAATTAAAAAAAAAAAAAAAAAAAAAAGCATGCACACAGACGGCAGGATTTGGAACGTGCACTTTTCCACTATAACCTTTCTATAGTAAGGGGCAATATGCTTTAGATTACATGGCACATTGCCATTTGACAAACCACCATGAAAATTTCCATAGATCACAGGCATTAATAGTAGGGTCATCACTTTGATTTAGGGTAACAAATTAATTATTCACTCATCTCTGGGGGTGCATGGTTAAATTCTGAGTCATTCTGAATATCTTAGAAAAGACTTGATGTTAGACAGCTTTCTCGTCAAATGATTAACCTGAACCAACTTCAGAAGTACCACAGTTAGGGTATCGCCATCAGCAACAGTCTAAACAAACAGAGCTGTTTTCAAAAGCAATATTCTCTCAGAGCTTCCTCTTTGAAATATTGTGTCAAAGGTATTAATATCCAAAAACGTTTTGTTTACCCATTCTTGCTATATCCGCCATATGAATACAGTTAAAAAGGTAAACTCAAGCAGTATCTAAAGCAAGAATAAGAGTGCAGAGCTTTATAGCTGAGTGCATTGATTAATGTTTAAAGTAACGCAATAGATAAAAAAAGGTCAGTGCTGCACAAGAGCAAAGAAAACTACAGTACAGGCTCTACCATCACCACTGCAAAACAGGACAAAACAAACAAAAAAAACCTAGAGATTTTGTTGCTCTTGTGCATCCTAATACATTCATCCCCAGCTACCTCTTTGCTCCAGGGCTGTGCCAAGGCAAAGCCTCATGGGAGAAATGACTGACACCTCCTAATCCTCATGGATACCAAAAAGCATGTCATTACCATGGCTTTTACACCATCTTCTGGGATGTAGCATGGGAACAACAAGGGAACAAAAACAGTCAATAAAACTCCAAAAATAAGAAGTGTGAATTTCTAATGTGCTATGTTTTGGGCCACAAGTGTAGCTTAAGTACTCTGAGCAAAAGCATCTCTCCACCCCAATCCTATTAATTCAGCACAGCCAGAACAACCACCTGGGGTATCCTACATTTCAAATGAGCCATATTTTGTTTATCTTTAACACCAGCGGGCAGGCTGGCAGGCATGTAGCACTGGAGGAAATGTGATGGGAAGTGGAGCACAAGTGTTATGACCTAAGCAAACAGCTGATTTTGGAGAAGATGAGCGAGAAAAGGAGTTGTCTGTCAAGCTAAGCTCTCCACAGATGGACGAGTGCAGCACGCCAAGAAAACAGCAAGTCCTGAGGCTTTGCGGTAGCTTCAGGTTTTAAAGTACACCACAGAAACGGTTCAGGAGGAAGTGATGATCAGAGGGCAAACCCAAATACAGCACATCATGTAATTACATGTTAATATTCCTCATGATTAATTCATTCATGTCATCAACTGAGTGAATCATGGTAACTGTAATTTCCCCACTTTTGAGGCAAGTATGAACAGAAGAAGCCTTTACAGCTATCTACATAAAACTATTATGGTAGCAGTAAATTTATGGGGATCTTCATTTAAAGAGCACCAGAGCAAATGTAATTACTTACATCGTTTAATAAACAAAACTAAAAACCTATTGTGCAAATATGGAATTGAGAGAATATAGCTAATACTGAACTGTAGGCTAAAGTCCAATCCCAGTTCACCCCCTTGCCCCTAGCCATACACCTTTGTTTTGCATGTTTATGTGTAGTGGTAGGGGTGTCACAATTCTCTTTAGGATGGCACGGTAGGGGGAAGTGGTGGGGCTACACAGCCCTTCAGACACCTCAAACAAATCCACCAACATTCCCTGGTATCAAAAATACATTTTGATCTTTGCACTTTTCTTATATGCTGCTGAAAATTGCAAGCTGGTGCTCTTAGACCATGCAAGACAAATCACCACAGCTGACGATGGAATTGTGTGATTCAAAATTTCCATCAACTCGTCGCGTCTTTTTATTTAACCATCATTATTAACAACTGATGACACATAGAAGTATTGAAGAGTTGTCCCATTTTATAGGGGAAGGCTTCAACCACTGCTCCTTGTATCTCTAGTTTGAGGGTTAACTCAAAAACAAGGGGTAGAGGTAAAAAAATAAGAAATGGGATTTGGCTTAAGACTTGACTTATAACTGGACCATTGTTTTTTGACACAAACACACAATGTTCACCATTTACTAGCCAGAAATGTTACACTTCTATGAGCACAATAACAAAAATTATTTTCACTGATATACAGTGGCAGTCGAGGGTTTACCTATACCCAAGTATCTCCCAGGTGAGTCAGTCAGCTATCTGCTAGCAAAGCCACTGCTTCACTCCCTTCCCTCTGCTCTGTATGCCCTATCTGCTCAGTCCTTTCCCTAGAGCTCACTATCGCCCTGCTACCTCTACTCTTGTAGTGACAGACAAACAAAGGGAGCCAGAACTACATTAACGAGTAGAAAGTTGCGCCTCAACTAATTAGACACCCCCACTACCCCACACTATTGCCTCCATCCCCTGCTGCTATTTCAGAACAGTGTGATATAGCTTGGCCAGGGCTGGGACTGTTGGATCCATCGTGAAAGAAACAAGGGCTGGAGATTTTTTTTTATTGATTTATTTTTTTATTTTTTTATTTTTTTGGCTGCAGGCCAATGGGGTACCGTGGTAATTGCCTGAATCCCACGGTTGCAAGTGACGAAAAAGAGTGTGAGGGTGGCACAAGCCAAGGAAAGTGAGAAAATACTGGGACCAAGTGTGGGAATGAAAGCCTAGCAACATAAAATGCAGAGAGAGTAAGGAGACAGACAGAAGCTTAGAAAAATTAGGTACAAAGGACAAATGTTTATTAGAAACAGGACAAGTGACTCAGATGAATGTCAGGGCCTGGGGACTCTTGCTTGCATGAAAATAATACAAGAAAGAAAAAAAAACAGACAAAGCACTGGGAGTGTAAGTTAAAATGGAATGACTTCTGGTGCTACTCACTAGGGAGAGCCAGAGAAGGGTGCAGTAAGCGTCTTGGCTGTTGGAGTGGAACAGGGCAGGGTGCAACGGTGGCTGCACAGTGGGACCTCACTGGACACTTCAATCACAGGCAGCCAGAGCCCCGGGCAGATTTGGCCAATTAGCCGCACACTGCTGCTGACCCCCAGCTTCATTAAGGGCCTGGACTCTGGATAAGGAGAGAGGGGAGACGGGGAGGAGAGGAGAGGATTAGGGAGAGAGTAAACCATCAGTAGAGAAGACAAACGCATGCATCTGCACGGACACGCGCTAGAGGTGAAACTCAAGGTTAAAGATAAACACAATCAAGTGTGAAAGCACCTTATACCACACAATTACACATATGCCGACCCACACTTCCTCCTCCCAGTGGGTTTTTCCCTGCAGCAAAGGTGGTTGTGGTGAGGGGGTGTGGGTGTAGGGGCCAGAGGGCAAAGCTACCCCTTCTCTCCCACACCACTGCACTGACAGCAACAGGTGTGGTGGCCAGCAGACATGCAATTACTAGGCTGAGAATCTGCTATTTGCGACAGAGACACAGCAGATCAGAGGAAGGATCAGAGATAGGAGGGAGAGGAGGAGTAAAGTGGGAGGAGAGGTGAGAGATGAGGAGAAAGAGGGGAAGATACAGACTACTGAAAGTCCCTGGAGGAGAGAGAGAGAGAGATTTCCAGTCAGCTCTTTTCATCACAAATCCCTTGCTGGCAGAGCGCAGGCGTGCAAAGCAAAGATCAAAAACCAACAGATACAGTAGCTATGACACACCTGTTGCTTTGCAGTAGAAATACAAATTTACATGCTTTGGTGGTCTGGAGAGACCTCACACCGAGACAAGTGTAAACTGACAACATCCCATTTGAATTCAGACTGGGTGGAGCTGTTTGAGGTGCTATGGGACAGGTTGCACTCAGTGAGCCCTGGCGGCGGTTTGGTGTATGCATGGTTGCCTGCATTACAAGTGTGTATATCCACATGGGACCTCTGCTTGCATCAGGCTCACAATGAAAACCTCAGTGGTGCTCCAGGGTGGGGGTAGGAGCTTTGTACACTCTCATTTTCTCTGCTCTCCCTCTCCGATTACCAGCCTTCGATCAGGCTATAGTAATGTTTGTGCACTTTGCCGCCAGTGTAGCAATAAATGCTGTCAGAAACCATGCATGCTTGGGTGGAGAGGAGATACAGGCCCTTTATTTAAAACAAGCCAGGGATGAAAGATCAATGGCCCAATTCAGGCCATGAATTGGAGGGAAAAGTTCACAAACATACTGGGAGATTATGAGAGGGAGATCTATGTGTGGATGGCAAGGAGCGCAAAGCAAGGGGGCATCTAGCTCATCTGGGTGCTTGTGGCTTATTGATTGGTGGAGACACACAGCTCCAAGCCATTCGTCACAGGACACTCAGGCCCTGAGATAACTCCTATGATAGTGCCCTGCTGCTAAGCAGCTGCAACTGGCCACATCCATTATCCTTCAAAGTAAGCCCCCTAGCCTGGGAACAGGCATGATGAGGCTACTGGGTGACAGGCTAGGGGGAGGGTTAGAATGGAAATAGGAAAGACCAGGCCTGTGGTTGGGAGCCCATGGCTGAGGCTAGTGTACAAAAGTTGAAGGGCCAGTGCTTTATGAAAAATGGTGCTGTGACAGCCAGAACAAAGATGAAAAACTGTCTGTTTGCACCAGTCAGAGGAAGAAAAAAAAATGTGATGACTATTGTTTTCACCTCTCAGCCAAAGTGTATCAGCAAAGCTGTTCTACAGCAGATAGCATACAAACATTTGAGTGACAAGCACCTCTGAAAACTGCTGAGTGGTTCCGTACTTATGTGTGTAAGGAGACTTCCAAGATAGGAAAGGTGGGATCAGCTATAATGAGCTGGGGGGGGGAGGGGATTGCAAGGGAGAAAGACAGAGTGAGAGTAATGGAGACCGGCTCAGAGCCAGAGACAAGGCCCCAAAAGAGCAATTACATGAGCTCCAGAGAAGGTGTGGGCCCAGGCACAAAGCCCTGCCAGACATGTACTCATAAGCACAACACACGCTTATTTGTCTGTCTACAGCTGTAAGGACACTCACTGACATAATGCATTCCCCATACATGTATACACACACACACAGAGTCACAAGCCTTAATCTGACACAGGAGACATAAAGAAGAGGAGAAAAGTGGAAGGAGTTTTAAACTGGGATTATCTCACTCCAAAACATCACCATGCAATACACACCCTCCCCAGGTTTTCACTGCAACATTCTGTTCTGGTCGAAACCTGTTCCCTTAACAGCATGACCCTAGACAAAAGCTAAAACTCCAGGGCTGAGGTCAGTTTGTACAAAACTTTAAAGTCAATTGTCCCCCATGTGAGGAGCACTAAACAACACTGAAACGCCTGGACAGCCTCGCACCGTGGTGCCTGTCACAGGTATGAGTCCAAAATGGTTTGTGAAGGCAACCATTTTTGCCCCCCTCCCCAAAAAACCCACCTCACCCATCACCACTTCTACCAGTGAAATGTGAAAAGGCGGGAAAGAATGAACAACAATGACAGCAAAAGAAGAAAGAGGGAGATGTGCAAACAGATAAGGGGGAGGGGAAATTAAATTAAGAGAAAAGTTCTCGCGCACCAGTATGCACCATTGATTTCCTATTCTCTTGGAAACATTTAATGATCTTAAATAAGAGCCTCGTTTGACACCGCCACAGTGACTCAGAGGAGCTTCCCAGTGTGAGAAAATCATTCAGCGCCTGTGGTGGCTACTGGAAGGGGGCTGGAAGATGGAGAGAACATGGAGGAAGAGGGATGGGGGGGAAGTGAAGGTTTTAATGGCAAAGCAAGAGAGGTGTGCAAAACAGATGTTGGATTAGGTCCAAGAAATGGTTCATGGGTAGCATTATTTGCCTAGCTTCCAATGTGGAGGAAAAAGAATGAAAGATGAAGGAAATTACTGAAAGAGATGCAGATGGTGAGGGAGGGTAAAGGTGGTTTACATTCAACCGAGCCGTCTAGTTATGTACAGTAGGTGCTTACCTCTCACAACAGGCACTCATTATAACTCAATGTATAACCTGACTGACAGCTGCTCCTCTACTGCAGAGTTTCACCTCATTACTTCCTGGATGACCTCCCTAGGAAACATTCAACAGATGCCTATTGCTTGGCGGCCATCTTGTATTTCTACCTTCCCTGCACTTATTTCCCCCCCTCTATCGGCAGGAGAACTATTGTCACTTCAGAGAGCAAAGTCCAGAGGCGCTTCACTGCTCTCTGCCGCTGATGAGGGCCCCACTGGGAACCATCGACAACCGCTTTATGAAGCTGTCTGGCTGACTGAATGGACTCGGCGTCCCGCCACCTTTAGCAGGCAATCATAATAATAAGCGTGTGGAGTCAGGCATGGCTGTACACTGACACCACAGGGGGGCTTTCCCTTCACCGACTGCTGGGTGTGGTGTGTGTGTGTGTGTGTGTGTGTGTGTGTGTGTGTGTGTGTGTATGGAGGAGGTTGTAAATGAGTACGTTCAGACCTGGAAAATAAACTAATTTCACTGACTTCACTTGTATTGCAATTCTATAAATCCAAACTAATTACAGTGAGAACAGCTACAACTAATGACACAGACAACACCAAGAAGTTAAATAAACCAAGGCCTTCACAATCTAACGCAGCAGTCCAGAGTCATATTATGGACAGACATATCAGAAGACAATACAAAACAGGAAATATACATGTACAGTGATGTATTTACAGTGCCTTGCGAAAGTATTCGGCCCCCTTGAACTTTGCGACCTTTTGCCACATTTCAGGCTTCAAACATAAAGATATAAAACTGTAATTTTTTGTGAAGAATCAACAACAAGTGGGACACAATCATGAAGTGGAACGAAATTTATTGGATATTTCAAACTTTTGTAACAAATAAAAAACTGAAAAATTGGGCGTGCAAAATTATTCAGCCCCCTTAAGTTAATACTTTGTAGCGCCACCTTTTGCTGCGATTACAGCTGTAAGTCACTTGGGGTATGTCTCTATCAGTTTTGCACATCGAGAGACT